GAATCCAGAGGCAATATCGCAATCAAAGATAATCACAACTGACCAAAACCAGGTACCTTGGTTGAAGCAGAAGTATCAAAAGTCCCAGCTCCTCCAAATCCAGTGCCTGGTGTTCCTTTCAAAGAGGATATCACAGACACTAATATTGGCTCAACAAGTTGACTGACTCCTTCTTCCGGGTTGGAATGAACACACGCACAACAGAGCAGACCAACCTCTGCAATAGCACCAGGAAGAATATTTGTCCTCACAAACTTGGAAATTTTCTTCAAGGCCTGTTTGATATATCAGTGAAGTGTAAGACAGTATATTAGCTCAGAAAGAGTAGTCTGTATCAAGTATTTTTAAGTTATAAAGTAATACCTGATTATACAGTGATTTTGAAAGCCTCCCAAGAAGAATTTCAAGAACACAGAAGTAGTATGGACCATCATCAACTAGGAAAGTTCCTGACGAAGCTGATGAGTGAAGACCTTCATTTCTATTATACCAAAAACCAGTGATCCAATTATTAAGCATAATAACAAACATTAAAAAAAATCCACCTAAGCATCTTTGTCAAATAAAATAGCAAGCAAGAGAGGGGACTTTGACACCATTACTTACAAAACACTGCTGGGTTCCAAGTGTAGAAGTAGGGAAAACAGACGGCATAAGAACTCATCCAGCCACTCAGAGAAACGGATCATTGGCATAAAAGATAAGTCATCAATTTTATCATCCAATAAAGCCAACTGCATTTACCCAGTGAAGAGGTCAAGCACTCACTACAGTAGTACTAGCAAGAAGCTGTTTATTCAATATATCAAAATGTTTAAACTCACATTTGAAAATATGGAACCAATTAATTGCATAGTAGCTAAAGTTTTCGGAGGGTCGTTGGCATCCATGCCAAGTAATGCATTGGATAATGAAACCCCAATAAGATCAATGAATGTTTCATCACCACCACCAAGATCCACTTTTTTGATGGAAGAAGCTGATACAGATGTATAAAATAGTGAACGCCCAACAAATGCCACTGACATAACTGCAATTTTCAACTGATGGGTGGCAGTCATCTGGCTAGGAAAAATTAATGTCGTCAGAAAGTCAAACTAGTACATTATAGTAATACTGTTTATAGAGAGCAAAGAATATCCCATCCCTCAATGAACATGTTACCAAGAAGAAAATATTATGCTCTAGACATGTAATTGACCACATAATTTCTGAAATTCTACCAAGAAAAAAATTCAAACACAACTAACCGTCTCAAGGGCCATTTGAAACCGAGATGCCACAAATGGAAGGACCAATGAGGGTTCCACATAAGAAAGTATAGAAGTTGCTGCAGCAACTGTCTCAGAGAGGTGCTCATTCTTGCTGTATTGTCCCCGATCAATTAATTTAAGCATTGTGTTCACAAAGAATACCCTTTCTGATTCTCCAAGATGCTGTTCAGTAGGTCTACAATTATTTATGCCCCTGTAAAACAGACCTTTTCAGTTTCATAAAACAGAAACATGACAAAAAACTGAAAAATGACAAATGATAATTAATCCATACAACTGCTCATTCTGTAAACGCTTCTGAAATTGAATCACCAAATGAAACAAAAACCTCTCCAGTGAGTAAGTCCAACGACCACCATTTGAGGGGTGATAATATCTAAGATAGAAAAAAGTTGGTAACAAAAAGGAAACCATTGAGTTGAAGAGAAGGCGAGCTTAATTAAGCTAAATACAGTAAGTGATGTATAAGTAACTAACTGTTCCAAAATGTTGACCAATTTCTCAAAGTGCTGTTTTGCGGAACTACCAGGTTTTAGCAAATATACCTGCAGTTGCAATTACAAAAGATCAATATTAAAAGTATGAAACCAGCAATATGACTCCAATGTTAGAATCCCACATAGGTAAGCAACAACATATTTTCTTACAATTGACTTGGAGATAGCCTTTGCAGGGGTGGAAGTTCTATTGGAAAACAAGAACCTTGTGTTTCTTGGGACATCGAGTGAAAAGGGATATGATCCACTTCCATTTGCAACAGGAACCTGCGATTCATGAGTGCGAGTATGAAATGTAAGTAAAACCAATATGACTAACCAAAGGAGTAAGTAGTAATAAAATAAAATTTATGCAAAACATAGCTGGACAACATGCTGGTGTATCTATAGATCAACTAATAAGAATAGTTTAGCATGCATTTTTTATTCAAAACAATAATTTTAAAATGCAATAGCTAACATGCTAATGACTTTACAGCCAAACCTCTACAGTTCATCTAAAGGGTTTGTCCTTTCAATGCTTATGAATAATAGAGTTGATAGGGAAAAATGTAAATTCGGATATTAAGAACGGTCATGCTGGTTGAGATAGAATAATATCTGCTACCCTACAACAGTGTTAGTTTCTCAGCTTAAGGCAAGAGCATTGACACAGTGAAGCTTCCTGTTAAAAGCCTCACAACATACAGGATATAGCCTGAAAATATGTGTACAAAATGTTCATAAGTGGGACAAATTTTCACCTTACGAGCCAATTTTGTAAGATTGAGTTAGGCCTAAATTCAAATTTTAACATGGTATCTAGAGCCTATTCTGATCCTCCTGGAATACTCTCGCCACTATTCTACCGTGGAGTTCCCAAAAGGTTGGAAATATAATAATATTTTCCTCTTATCTTTTTTCGGCAGTTTTCTGCTGTAACCCACAGCTTCCGCCATCGTTGCAGCCTTCCTTTTGGTCCAACTAGAACCGGCCACGTGGTTCCAAATTTGCCATCAATTTCCAGTTTTGCTCCAGGGAAACTCGTGTTTCAGATCAAACAGCCCTTACTTTATGTTTTGGCCCTATTTTGCGCCTTGAGTCATAGTTTTCTAGTATCCTATTTGAATTCTCTTGTGTCGCTTCGGATTCTTAACAAAAAGAGGAAACTATTATTATATTCCCAACTTTTTGGGAACTCGAAATTAGAATAGTGGCGAGAGTATTCAAGGCGGATCGAAATAGGCTCTAGATACCATATTAGAAATTTATATTTAGATATATAGCCTATCCAAAATATGTTGTTGGGCTTCCCATAACAAAAAACAAAAAACAAAAAAAAGAAACAAAGTATATTATATAAGGGTGAGTTAGGCCCAATATAGAAATCTAATATGGCATAGCTTATCCAAGATTCTATGGGCCACATGCTATCAGGTTTCCTCTATCAGACCACCAACCTTTATATTCACGCACAAAGCTCAATAGTGTTTGGCATGAAGAGGTATGTTAAGAGCCCCACATCAGAAAAGGTAGGGCCTGAAAATATGCTTATAAGGCAATCCTCACCTTAAAAGTTGGGGCCCAAACCCAAATTTTAAGACTTCCCACTAGTTGAAAATATTCCTATTGTAGAGACGGTGTTTATTTGCTTGTATCAAGAGAGATTTTTTAAAAATGAACAAAACAATGCAGCCATTAGCCAGAAACTGTCATGATACAACCTCAATTGATTGGCAGCAGGTACATCAAGTGTATTTATCAGAAGAAAAAGAAATACGGGTATAACTATGTGATCAATTTTGTGGAAAGAAAACTACATTCAGCATTACCCTGTAAGAAAAACATTATTCTTTTGATATTCGCTACTAAGTGCTTGTATATAATTAATTGTGTTTCACTACACAAGTGCTAAAACACTAAAAGTTCTTTTGATATTCGCTACTAAACATTTGTATATAATTAATTGTGTTTCACTACACAAGTGTTAAAACACCAAAAGCCGAAATCTCAGTTGCAAACACACAAGTTCGTAAATATTTAAAAAATTGATATGCTCACCTCAAACATATTTAAGTATTTAGCAAAAAGCAAAGGCAAGAGACCCTCCCAATCAACATTGTGATAATTTTTTACAACACGGGCTATGACATCCGCCCACTGACTGTTCCAGAATTGGCAATTTGGTATAGACTCCCACAAGTCTAGACACTCTGTAATCCAATCACTGCCAATTCAAGTGTAAAACTTCATTGCACGGGAAGTCAAATTAGATATCACAAAATTTCCTAACAAATTAATGCTTCTTACTGTGTAAAAAAGGCCTGATTGTCCAGATTTGTTGGGAGAAACAGTCTAGCGAACCCAGATCCTTCAAAGGATGAATTATGCCATGGGTTTTGCAATAAAGATCTACAAATAATCCATAGACCCAAATAAAAGTAAGTTATAAGAAAATATATATAAATAAAAAACGAAACTCAAAATGTAAAACCCCTAATACAGGTCCACCATTATTTCATTAAATGGAAACGTAGACAACTCACTATCATTAATTTTAGTGTCGATGAAAAATGCAAAATAAATAAAGGCATAAGACAAACTTGTAATGATTCAACATTATGCAGAAACAATGACAGAGCACTCACTTAAACTCGGACCATATCTCAAAGGCAGAACCTGATGGGAAGAATCTTCGGCAGGACTGAACAAGTGAAGTTATAGTTTCAAAATGTCTTTGTCTTACTCTCCAACCTTCTGGGCCTGTACTTCTGTAACAATAACATAATTCATAATCACCGACCTAAAATTATTGAATATAATATCAAGCAAAGAATTAAATTAATCAATATATATTCAACTATGTATTTTGCTTTAGCGGCAGACTATCAAAGTTCAAAAGTAAATGAAGAAAAGTTTAAGAAAATAACATGAATATCAAATAAAAGCTTAAGTTTATAACAAAGGATAAACTATTGTGTTCATTTCTAATTCAAGTTTTAAAGCGTCAAGATTTAATTTCTTTTTTTTTCCTTTGTTTTCAGTGACAGCTAAGAAATCAAAGATTCCAGAGCTAGGCATCGCAAACTATGAACAACACAGAATAACTATAAAGTTTAAACCAATGAAGGCTGCAGCATCGACAGTATCAGTGTAAACCTTACCTGGTAAAATGTGTGCTAACCAGTGTATCATACAGAGGCCTCCATTCAATAGTCAGTGCAATCTTTTTCCTATACTTATTGAGTAGTCTGACTAATAAATTTCCCCACCTAACCTAATAAACAAAAAATGACACATTCATTTAAGAACATGAAAAGCCATGAAAACAAGAAAACTGCATATCTCATTCAAGACAAAATTCAGCACCTGGGCATAAAGCTTATTACGAGACATGTGAAATAGTTCAAGGCCGGTCTGAATAAGGGTGTGGACATCCTCCAAAGACACAACACTTTTCGCCTTTATGAAACTGCACATCACATAAAAGTCAGATTTCGTTTCATTAACCAACTCTATCCTGGATACAATCCAAGAACGAAAACCCCCACGTCCACTACTAACAATGCAATAAAGTACAACTGGATACTACTAATAAGAATCTCACTGAATAACATTGAAACTAGTGATAACAGTACAGAACTACAAAAACAATGAAATAAATGTAATTTTTAATGCATAATATATGATATGATGTTACAGACACAGCTAAATTACCATGACAACACTCAAGCATTTTGTTTTAGGATTTTCTTATTTAAAGAAAACAATCGTTTTTCTTTGACAGTACCCAAGGGAAGTTTTTATGGCAAAAGCCATAAAGCATTTACGCACACACGGACAACATACACGACACTGACACATAGATACCGATAATAATTTTAGATGTAACTGATTGAATGTAAACATAGGTGTTGGCGTCGGGTCGGGCATTGCCCGCGCCTCCAATATAAATTGCTACATATATGGAAGACATTATTGTTCTGATAATTAAGCTGAACCAGATATATAATGCCAATCAAAAACAACATCAATTCATCAGTATCCTGAAGTATTTTAACAATCAGGTAATCAGCATAATTGCAACTTGCTGACAAAACAGTGAAAAGTGACACTCTAAAAGTCAGTCAATAGCGTTTCAGTAACTTCCATCTTCAATACTTCACCAAACCTTCGAGTTCAATCGCAACAACAAAAAATTCATCTAAACACAAAATCTTCGAGCAGTAACCTCTAAAGGAGCACTATCACATAAATTTCATAAAACTGAGCAGATAACAAATCAATTGAAATTGAAGATAACGAAAATCAAAGCACCGTAATATCTAGATAACAAAAACGAAATTAAAGAAAACGAAAATCAGCCATGAATTAAGAGAGAGAAAACTGAAATTGAAAATCAAGAGTTGAAAATGGAACTGACAGGTCAAGGACGGAGATGTATTTGAGAGTTGAATAAACGGATTCGGGATCGTCACGGTTGAAAGACGAGTTGACGGCGGCGATGATGCGAGCGAAGGAGTCTCTCTCGGCGGCGGTCTGAGCCGCCACAGGTGGCGGCAACCATGCATTGTAGAGATGCATTTTTTTTTGTTTGATGAATAAGCAGAGAGAGGTTTTGGTTTTGGTAGTTATTTGTTGTGGAGAAGTGTGAATGTGAATATATATAAAGAGAGAGAGTGTAGGTGAGGATTGAAGATTTAGAAGTGCTTTGTGAACAAGAAAGGTAAATTGAGTCGAAGAGAGAGAGAGAGAGAAACTGAAAAATATATATTTGTTGTTGTTGTTTATTTATTACTACTACAGTGTTAGTATCGGATGAAAAGAAGACTTGGGGTGTTTGCATTACAATTGACTTTTACTCACTGATGAATGAGACCGCCATTAGATTCATTCATAGTGGTAATTGCTTCACACCGGTTTAATTTAACACTGTTTCCCTAAGCAAGGTGAGGTAAAATCAAACAGCATCTAAATTTTATAATGTATGACACAAATATATCGGTGAAGCTATAAAAAAAATTTTATCAATTTGCAATAAGCTGTATTATACGAAATATTAGATGATTAGGAAAAACACGAAAATAAAATAAATGTAATCAAAAATGAAAATGTTATGTTTGATATCTAATAAAACTAGAGTAAAAAAATATTAGAAAACAATATTAATGAGAGTGTTGGATAGCACATGTAATAAAAATGATACAAAATAAGTTAAGATGATTCCACCCTTGAAAATTAAATTTAAATATTATGATAAGTTGAGTAGATTGGAGATGGATTAAATAATTAAAATTTTAAAAATTTTAAAGATTATTTTATAAATTTTAAGATAAAGTTTTTGGAATGAATAATTTAAATATAAACTTTATTAATAAAATATTATGATCAGAGTTAATCGGATGCTTCTCTCAAACTATAATTCTTATAAAATAAAATTTTTCAAATTATGATTCATTAATATTTATTTTTTCATCATACTTTTTTGTATATATTTTCTCTTTTTCTTTATAAAAATATTTTTTATCTTTTAATTTTATAAATTTTTCTTTGTTATGTAAAATTTTGTAAATATAATCCTATAAAAGTAATAAGTAAATTTTATGACAAGAACTAATACAATTTATTTTTAATTATAAATAGTTTACTAATGTATTTCTCTGTTGTACTTATTTATTGTTCTTAATAGTTATTTTATTTATAGGTTAAAACCAAACTAAACACGTGACATATTCGTAAAAGAATAATTTATTTTAAAATAAATAATATTTTTAATTTTAGTATAATAGTGTCAACTATTATATTTTGTAATCAAAATTATTTATATTATTATTATTATTATTATTATTATTATTTTATATATATATATATATATATATATATATATATATATATATATATATATATATATATATATATATATATATATATATATATATATATATATATATATATATATATATATAAATTAATAGTATAAAATAATTTTATATTAATAACGGACGGTTTTTTTTCATAAGAATTCATAAAAATAATTTAATAAAAATATAATATTATGCGTCTTTTATTAATAGAATATTTTAATATCTGCAGACTAATTAACTAAGCCATCCATTTTGTAACTTGGGAAGTGACGTAGGAAATACCAACTGGTTTAACGAGTTCTTGAAGGTTCGGTGTTTGATCCTTACAGCTAACAACTTTCTCCACCCCTTACATATTGAACTCGTGTTCAAGTCCATTTGGACCAACCAGATGTCAGAATTTTGTTAAAGAAATTTAGAGTCTGTCTCTTTTTTTATTAATACATATAATAGCATTAGCACATCGGAATTTTAGCAAATTGATTCCCTAAGTTATATGTCACATCTTAATATCTATAAATTAGTATATTTCTTTAGAATGAATAAGACAAATTACCTCACAATTATTCTGTATCGGTTAAGAAATGATTCTTACATGTAGATGTGACATTTACAACGTCCCCCTCCACTAGTAGAGTTCATAAGAACTTATTCTTAAAGAAGCGGGTTTCGGATCACAAACGGGGATGCTTATTTTGTTTACAGCTATGTGATTCCAAAACCATTCACTATACATGAAAATAGTGATATAAATAATTACGTGAATATATATATATATATATATATATATATATATATATATATATATATATATATATATATATATATATATATATATATATATATATATATATATATATATATATATATATATATATATAAAACAATGTGAACTTTGACATGCATATAATTAGTGATACTGATAGTGATCGTATACAGTAGTATATATAAATACTATATATAAATAGTGGTATATATGAATACTAGTGTAAATAGTGTGTGAACAGGATTTTTTAGTAGTTAAATAAATTTTTTTAATTAAATATTAAAAATTAATTAATTAAGTGATTAAGCTGGTTAATAAAATTTCATATATTAAAAGTAAATTTTAATAGTAAAACAAAAATAATTAATAAAGTATAGAAAATTAGTTAATAAAAAGATAAAGTTGATTAATAAATTTTTAGATATTAAAATTTGGTTAATAAAAAGTAAAATGTTAGTTAATAAAATTTAAAAGTTGATTAATCACAATTTTATATTAATATTTTTTAATTTAAAAAATAATGATTTTAATATTTTCTTTTAAATATTTATTATTATAATATTTTATTGTTTACTATATTTAGTGAACAACGAAATGTGGTATAAGTGTACTTTCACTGTCTCATGATAAGTGATCCAGTTGATTTTTTACGTAGGTTAAAATAAATAAATAAAAAATAATGATATTTTTGTTGGTGCAAAGATAGAATAAATGATGAAATAGGAAATATTACTAATAAGAGAATGACGGCTACAAAACATGATATTAGGTTACAATGATTGTCACCCTATTTATAAGCTAAAACTAGGGTTACTAGAATAGGATAAATACTAAAATACCCTCTAACAAACTTATGGGCTAAGAAAATAGTACAACTAAATAAATATGAATTATCATTAATATTCTAATACCATCCCTTAATTCATATTCCATCAAAACTTGTAACACCAATTCCATCCCTTAATCTGAGAAATTGATCAGTCTTGATAGCTTTCGTCAGAACATCTGCCAACTGCTTTTGAGTGCTGCAGTGTACAACTTCTAACACTCCACTCTGAACTTGATGTCTCAGAAAATGATACTTGGTCTCAATATGCTTGCTTCTCCCATGCAGCACTGGGTTTCTGGCAAGGTTGATTGCAGACTTGTTGTCAATCATCAACTTCAGAGGTTTGTCTACCTTAATCTTCAGATCCTGCAACAGATTCAGAATCCACACAGCTTGGCATGCAGTAACAGCACCTGCAATGTATTCAGCTTCACAGGTTGACAACGCCACAACAGGTTGCTTCTTGGAACACCAAGAAATGGGACCTCCCAGAAATTTGAACAAGTACCCAGATGTACTTCTTCTGTCAACTCTGTCTCCACACCAATCAGAGTCTGAATAACTCAGAAGTTCTGACTCATTATTTCCTCCAGAGGGAAATAACACTCCATACTTCAGAGTTCCTTTGATATACCTCAGAATCCTGACAGCAGCTTGGTAATGGGACCACTTAGGTTTACTCATGAACCTACTAACCATCCCAACTGAGTAGCAAATATCAGGTCTGGTATTGCACAGATACCTCAGAGAACCAACCAACTGTTTGAAGGTTGTAGCATCCACATCCTTTCCTTCAGAGTCTGAATCCAGTTTCTGATTTGTATCAGAAGGTGTGACAGCCATCTTACAATTCTTCAGATCAAATCTCTTCAGAAGTTCTAATTCATACTTGAGCTGATGCAAAATGATACCTTTCTCAGAATATCTGAACTCCATCCCTAGAAAGTATGTCATTTTGCCTAGATCAGTCATTTCAAATTCATTCATTAGAACCTTCTTGAACTTGGCTATCTCCTGTTCAGAGCTTCCAGTCAGCAGTATATCATCAACATATAAACATACCAGAGTCATATTGCCTCCAGGAGTATGCTGAACATAGACACCGTACTCCATCTCACATTTCTGAAAGTCTTGCTTCTTGAAAAATGAATCAATCTTCTGATTCCAAGCTCTGGGCGCTTGTTTCAGTCCATATAGAGCTTTGTATAGTCTGTACACCATCCCTTCCTGATTCTTTTTCACAAATCCAGGAGGTTGTGACACGTAAACTTCTTCTTCTAATGGACCATTCAGAAATGCAGATTTTACATCTAAATGCATCAGAGACCAATTCCTGTTAGCAGCTATTGCAATCACCATTCTGATTGTTTCATGTCTTGCTACAGGTGCAAACACTTCAGAATAATCCAGCCCAGGTTTCTGTAGAAATCCTCTGGCTACCAACCTTGCTTTATGTTTGCCAATTGAACCATCTGGCTTTAACTTCTGCTTGAAAACCCATCTGACGCTGATGGCTTTCTTGTCTTTTGGAAGTTCTGCCAGCTTCCAAGTCTTGTTTCTCTCTATAGCATCAAGTTCTTCTTTCATGGCCTTCAGCCAGAGCTTCTGCTTAAGAGCCTCCTCTGTACTTATAGGTTCAGAGTCTACTAACATGGCACACTGAATAACTTCTCCTTCAGAGTCTACTTCAGTGTCTTGCAGCATGTCAAATTCTGCAAATCTTCTGGGAACGCTTCTGATTCTTTGTGGTCTCTGAACTTGTTCAGAGTCTTGAGCTTCAGAGTTTCTAGCTTCAGATGATTGACCTCCAGAGCTTTGACCATCTTCAGAGTCTGGCATATTTCCAGAGTCTGAATTGCCACCAAGATCTGGATTGCCATCAGAGTCTGAATCATCAGAGTCTGGGTCATCAGAGTCACCTTCATCTTCTGAGTCATCTTCAGAGTTTGAATCAGTATCAGAGTCAGAGTCAACGTCAGGGTTTACTTCAACTTCAGAAATTCTTAACTCTGGCCTTTCTTCAGAGGTTCTAACATCAGAATCAGATTGAGACTTATCCCAATTCCAAACTTCTGATTCCTTCACAATCACATCTCTGCTGAATTCAATTTTATTGGTTTCTGGA